ATTTATAWGAATAGCATTAAAAAGCTCTGCGTTTCCACTAAAACATGAATAGGTTATTTAAAGAAAAACAACAAATATTAACGAACTTCCTACTGATACCTTTAATAAATTTATTTGAATTTTTAAGATGTAAATAATATACATACAATAACGCGTATAAACAAATTATAAAGACCTTGATCTTAATATTTTTACTTTTTTTATATTTTTAGACATGCTATTATTTTCGTTGATTAGTGAAATCAAGTAAATAATTGAATGAGTGAAAAATAAGTTGTAATACTATGATAAAAACTTATAAATTATCACAGAATTTTATAATCTGACCCATAACAATTATTTATTATTGACAAAATTTAAACTAAATAATATTTTTATGGTGGCACCAATCACAATTTTGATTGTGTAGAAACTAAGATAATTGTCATTAAAAAAAAAAAATAAGAAGTTTTTCAAAAAATACATACGATATCGTACAAATACGATGATACCAATAATTGCTGTTAATATGTAGAAGAGTTTAAACGGAAAAAAATATGTAGATAAGAGTCGAATCAATGAAATATAAACGTGTCCAGAAACGTCACGTTATTTAATATTGGATATTATAACTTATAATGTTTTTTATTATTGTTGAAAAAATATGCAGGGTGTAATAGAAAGATATAACAAATGAAGCATAAAAAACATATAAAAGATATGAAATTCTGTTATATCTTTCTGTTACATACTGTATAATTCATTAACTATGATTAAAATTAAAAATTACTCAACTAACAGTCATATTTTATACTTTAAGTATTCATTTATTTTCATTATTTTGTGTTATAACATTAATGTAATTATTCATATTGTTCTGAGACTCATTTCCTCCTTTTTGTAAACATATGGGATTCGAAAAATACTTCATATTTGTATAAATTATTTCTGTTTATGACTTTTAAAGTAATATATAATATAACATTATTGCTTAAAATTTATTTTGATAACAAAATTAAAACAGTTAAAGTATTTGCAATAAATGAGGTAGTGGTCCAAAATGTATTATATGATAAAAACAAATATTACAGATCAAGAGTATTAAAAATATTTGTAACTTATCAACTGTTATTAAAAATAAATTAGGTTAGTATTGATTAAATTTTAGTAAACTATACCTATATAGTTTATATTTCCTTTTATCGAGTCTGTATTACATTTCATGTGCCTTTAATTATTTTTTTGTTTTGCATTTAAAATGAAAAAAAAACTGTTACAAATTAAAATTTTATCACCGTACATTTATTTGAAAAAATGTAACACATTTGGAATGCAAAAAATAACGATAATTAACTACAATTAAATATTATGTAACCTCGCCATTTTTATCTCACACAATTTGAAATTATGAATGAATTATATAGATACAATGTATACGATAATGGTTTTTTTGAAATCGAAAACATGATTATTATTTTTAATATTTTTTAATGTGAGTTTAATTTTAGTTTATCGTACATATTGTATATTCACGATTCAAGAACGAACAAAAAAAGTATACATAATATAATAGTGACAACCTATATTATAGTAATATGCTATACATTATAATGTAAGGAATTTTATAAATTTATTTTTACTATATAATATGTATTTATGCAAAATGAAAGCAAGTTAACAAGTTAAGTAATAAACCAAACATTTTGCTATATGTTTTATACTGCATTACACAATATCGTCTAAAAGAAGTATCTAATACAATACATTTTTAAATATATACTACACATTTTAATTCACCAAAATTTGAAACATTGAATTTCTTAAAATGTTTACTGATCCTTTAATAATGACAATATTGGTACATTAAATTAATTAATTAAAGGTAAAATCTAAAAAAAAACACTTAACAAAAAGTTTTAAATTTGATATATATATATATACAATATACAAGTATTTTAATAAGAAAGGGTCAATTATTTTAAAATATACTAACAGTGAAATAATCAAATTTAAAGACTACCTATTAAAATAATAAAATTATCAATCTCATTAATTTAATTTTAAATAAATCTAATATCATCATTGATTTTTTTTAACTTAGTTATTTCCACTTATTAAATATTCCTCTATTATTTTATTGCATAAAAATGATTTTTTTTTTTGTAAAATAAAATGAATAAACATATATAATTTTGCGAGTAAATAAATATTATTATAAATATTCTAGGAATTAAATTCTGAATATTTATTTTTTAATATACTTTTATGTATGAATAATATTATGCATTTTAACATAATTGTTATGGTAAAGTTTAATTGTAACTAAATTTTATGAACATATTTAGGTAATGCATTCCTTTTAAGTAGTTTGGGTAATGTAGATTTATTATTTTGATTAAAAAATAATATATTTTAAAGCCATTATTTGCTATTAAACAAACGATTATGTAACTAACCCTTCTATGTTAAGGTATATTAGGTATTTAGTATAGTGATTATTAATCTTAATTATGAAAATGAAAATGTGTATTGTATTGCTCGTATTGTATATTTAAAAATATTATATTATAAAAGATCTGTTTTTATTTTTATTTTTTCATGTAAAACAGTTATACGTTTATAATAGCGATATAACTAAAGAAGGAAGACGTTTTAAAAGGAATTTTGTTTCGATAATATGATAAAAAATAAAAATAAAAGTACCTAATTATAATTTAATAATATTACTTAATAGCTTCGATAGTTTAATTTTGTTAACTTTAATCTAATGGTGTTATTAAATAAAATTTTAATTAAACAGCTTTTATTWATGATAAATTATGTTACGATAATTTAAAATTTTTATAAAAATATAGATTGTGAAAAAAAAACTATAATGACTACTCTCCGATATTTAACTAGAACTCAGGTATTGGATTTTTATTTTAGAAAATCGAGCTAATAGAGACATGTAGTCCAAACATTTTATATGGTACATCATACATACCTATAGATAATAACTATCTGGTATTTGTATGTTGGCTTTTTTTATAATTTATTCAAAAAATACACGTCCTTGTCAATATGTGTAAAAAAAAATCAAATTAACATATTAATTATCAACGTATAGCTTTATTATTAAAATTCAGTTTCTTTGTTCTCTTTTTGTATATAGATTTTCAATAGTGCCAGAGCTAACTAATATTTTGATTTATGTATTGCCATTTTCCAMACGGAAAGAATTTATATTATATTGTCCCTCTCCATGGTGCATACTGAAGTTAAAAATTAATACTTTATCGTGACTTTCAATTATAATTATAAATAAAATTACGAATTGTATGTTTAACGTAACACGACGAATTCAAAGTTGTAGGCAAAAATATAAATAAAATAATTTAATAATTTAAATCCTTATACAATACATTTGTGGTCCATATAATAAAAAAAATCGATTTATATTCCGTATACTTATATTGACGATTTCTGTTATTGTTTGTGGCAAAATATAATTAAAATATTTTTATCTGCTCAGATCGTATGCAGTAGTATGATATAATATTATGCTTTCAGTGAGCACTAAATTGATCAGAAATATCAATATTACTACAAAAAATGTATATACATATTTGTCGTCCAAATTATTATTATTAGTCACCAACAATTTTTGAATTAATGCGTAATTAATTGATTGAGTATGCTCATTGCCCATCAATTCCAGAGCGATGCAGGACATAATAATAATAATAATATAATATAGTAATATCAAAATATATACTGCATCATAATAATAAAATATTTAGAGGGATCATTACGAGGATATATCGAGTAAATTTGTTAACCATAAAATATAACATAATATAATATAAACTCAGAATACTGTAGTGTATACTGTATACGATTAATGATTTTACAATATGAAAAAGTTCAAAACTGTAGTTTAGTAATAGAAATGTTACGAACCATAATATTTAAGGTCGAACCGAACCCGAACCGAACCAAACTCTTCAAATATTTTATCGAACTTGAACCGAACATTAAAAGTTAAATTAGGTATTATTTTATTTAATATTTAATATTTATTTATTTATTTATTTATCATTTAGCCACCATACCTCAGAATTATTGAATAAAGATTTTACTACTATTTACTTAAATAATTTAAATACTTTAATAATTAATAGTTAATAATTATGCATGAGATTTTTAATTTTTAATTATTAATATGATGATAACTGATAAGAAAAAGCGAAAACATCAATATCAGCAAACATTAAACATTTCATAACGAAGTCCCCCTTCCCCACCGCACAGAGTATCTATTATCTTGACAGTCTCGGATAATGCGCTGAATGGCCATTGGCTATGGGTGGTAGGAAARGTGTGCGGCGGCCGGTTGAAACACGCAATTAACAATAACAATAGTAATAATTTATAAATAATAAATATTAATTATTAATTATTTAATAATAATATATAATTTTAGCCGTTACTCCATYGTATTTTTATTTATCTGGTTCGATTATCGAACGGAACTATTAGATATTTGGTTCGGTTCGATTATTTGGAATTTCCAGTTCGGTTTTGGTTCGGTTTGGTTCGAAAATCGAACAGTTCGTAACATCTCTATTTAGTAAATAAGAGCACAATACATAAGTTACAGTTATTCAACTAACAAATAAATACACGAACCTACTTATTGACTCACAGACAAGTCAAATAATATAATAATCGTATATTTAAATAAATTATATTAAGTATTATACCATGCAAGAATACTACATAGACAGAACGATACGTATATTATTACAACAATACTGTACAGTAGAAATAATGTCCCAGATATGTACTGATATTAATTGTATTGAATAAAATAATATTATTAAATATAATATACGAGGAGTAAAAATATTCTTATATAATTACTATAAAATACATAAAACTATCATAATAATACTACTAGTGCTACTATAAAAAATATAACAGCACCTAATAATTATTACGACGTTTATAATAAATTATGTGTATAATATAAAATGTACTTACGTTGATCTTTCCAAAATTGCTTCAGTCTCTTTCAATCTGTAAATATATAAGATAATTATAATAGAAAATAAAAATAGAAAATCATTGGTAATATTATTTTGTAGTTAAACTGCAACAAAAATGTCTTTTTTCCTTATACGTATATAGTGATGGGTAACGTGGGACGTGGGTAGGTCAGTTTGAGGTCGCGAGCGGGTTTGACACTGGAAGCGTGACGTACCTACCTATGTAATATAGTAGCGCACCAGCGCGCGTATTGACTATATACCGCCGGGGACCAGGCCGGATGTGAAACCACGCCACTCACCCTCTCGATCGGAAACGTACTCACTGTGAAGTGTTCCTAAGAGTATTGTGTGGGGGTGGGTAGGGAAAGAACTACGTTTCACACACGGCCTAGTTCTGTTTAATACACGCAAAAAGCACAAAAATCTCTCTGTTTATGTTGTTTCACCCTGCAGCGCCTGTGGGTATTTACCTATCGGAAATCCGCTCAGTCAGAAATAAAATCACGACAAATTTGAGGGCATCAATAAAATCAATAACACTAATATAGTAATAAATAAAATCTCAGTTTGTTCGATTTTCATCTCGTGCTTTTATAATGTGGCTTTCACGATGATGAGTGATGATTACGATATTAATCACCCACGTACCGCACAATACAAATCGCAACATCTCAACATCACACCGATGAATACCTACGTTTGCGTTGATATGTTTGTGCAAGGAATTGCAATATCGAAAAATGTCACAAAAACACACACACACGCGCCCACGCTTAAATGACATTATTATTACTATTGTCATGGTATTTTGAATGGTTTTTTGAATAGAATACTGTGTATTGATGTTAACGAGTTCGATTCACAATTTTCTGAGGTAGAGAAAATAACCACCACGACGCCAGTACTCTGATAATAATATTATTCAAAGAAATTTGAGCTCGAAAGTTCTAGTCTTAGATAGGTTTTTTGTTATCTAGGTGTATTACTTCATCATATTATATTCTAAAGTTGATGCTTTCGTCATAATACCAGGGAATTATATACAATGTATATTTATATAAACCCATGAGCATTTAGTTACGTCCATGACAAAGTATATTGCGTAGTTGTAAGGCCATGCCAAATATCACTATAACARCTGGGTGACCACCCGGGTCTTTTGATGACGTGCTTGTCCTCGCTTATCCCCTCATGAACTGTGTTCCAATTATTATACTAACATGCTATCAATTTATTAATAGTTTATCTTGATAGAATTCAATTAAGTTATCATTATTTATGTATTCGTATGAGTTAGTTTAAAAACAAAACAATAAATAATATAAATTAAACATTTTTAATAAATTACGAAACGAGGTTTGTTATTTTGGAGTAAAAACTAATAATGTTATAWTTTTTTAATTAAAATATATTTTTATTATATAAACAATGAGCTTGTTTTTTTGAATAGTACTTGTCTAATTATTTAGTTAATTAAACATAAGCTATACTGACCCATGACAGAGAATCCGAGATTACACATTAAAATAAAAAAATATAATRTACATTTTTAGTACCTAGATATGTCACATGTCCTATGAGATATTTCAACTTAAACAGTTTATTATTAATAGTAGTAACATCATTATGCCCTTATAATATACAAACAAAATTTTTTTCATGGTAAAAATGAATATATGTAGTTATTTTAAATTATTTATTTGTTTTTTTTTTTTTCATTTAAAAACACGATTTGACTCACAATAGACATATTTTAAAGATATAATTATTTTTTGTTCTGTAATCAGGTATTGTGATTATAGATGGGTGTATTATTATTCAGTTCAAACTTTCTTATGAAAACATATATAATACATATTTGATTTCAGTACTGGAAAATATTGAACGTTTATAAATGTATAAATGACAGTAATTATGTTTTTTTTTTTTTTTTTATTGAAATTTTTGCATTAAAAGTGTTATGTTGAAGCTTTTTCTGTAAATATATATTCGTAATATTCAATAATTGATAGAAGAAAAATGTATTTCATGTAGGTATAGTGAACATAATTAAACATTTTTAAATAAACTAAATATTATATGTTCAAAGTGAGAGAAATTCAGGGAGAATTTGTTTTGTGGCAATTATTGTCCCATTAAGTATTGCAATTTCGAGTTCAATAAGAAATGTTTGAAAATGAAAAATTGATTTTGGTGGCGTTTATGTTAAATTCAGTTCGAAATGCTTATAAACAGTGTAATTTTCGTTTACTATTCATAATATACTTAAGAGRTTTGTGTAGTATAAGTTGGTCTTGTGGTTTTGTACGTATTAGGTCGTTTCATAAATTATCGTTAATATACCTATAGTATACCTACACATAATATTGATTATTAATTATTCTTTACAGCCCATGAACCAAATATTGTATTTATATGCATAAAATCAATTGAGTATTTAGCTTAAATTAATAGTTTATTGTATTATTTGTTTAATATATTTTAATATACCTACCAATTTAAGTCAAAATTAAAATAACAAAATTCAATAAGCTCAACGAATAGATATAATTATATAAATAATAATGATTCATCTTTTGATATCAGAAACATAGATAGGTATAGGTATGTCTGATTTTAACTTATTATATTATTATTATACATATGATTAATGAATAGTTTGACTTTTTTTTTGTTTAAATAGCAATTATAACAAAAATGTGTAATTAATTATTGGATATGGCTGCATACAAACATCTTAAAAAAAAAACTCATAAGAACTTTAGTATAGGTATATTATGACTTGCTATGCCGTACTATTTAAATTGAATGATATATAAAATATTTTAATTTCACAAGTTCAATTAGATACAAAAAGTGAACAGAAATAACTGGAAATCATGAATATAAAAATGTCAACTGAAAAAATTGAATAATGTATATGTTTTAATTTATGTTTCTATAAATATGAACCAATATTGAAATATAATTGATCAAATGATAATACTTAAAATAACGAATTAAATAAGAATAAAATATAGAAATATGTATTTAAATATTATGATAATGCTTATAATGTGAACTGAATTTATCAATTTMTCAATTTATTTGAATAAGCTGGCTCATATATATAAGTGCATATCACTWRTAATCATCAAACCTAGGCGCTATTTGTTTTTTATTCATAGCAAGATAGAATACCTATAATTTGTAGCCTTTCTTTTTATATCCTATATACTTATCTACGTTCACATATACGGTGAATATTTTGTGCACAATTTCCCTGTAATAGATTATTATAAATAATATAAGTTATCATCAGAATACTGCGTATGAAAATATTTTAAAACTAACAAAAACAGATAATAAAGAAAATAACGCACGGAGCTCGTCCTGTTTTAATTAATTAATAATAATAACAATAATAACTTTAATCCAAAAAAATAAAAACACTTCGTTATATATGTATTTTTAAAATGCATATTATAATTCAGAGGTTTTTCAATACAATTTATTTCGGTCTTATACAAGCATATTTCACGATATTATTATAAAAAGAATCAGAATTACCTACTCGTGTCAAAACGTTGAATTCAAGAGTTCGTATAATTTGTATGCATCAAAATTATTTTTATTGTTCTGGTTTTTTCAAAAACAAACTTTAATTATTATGAACACAAAACAATTAATTAAAAGTTGAACCTCTCGTTACAACAATTTATGATTGTATTTAAAATATAAGTCCCTATAACTGTAAAAAAAATAAGTGCATTTTTTTATTATCATTTAAATAAAACACAATATAACAATTTTTAATTATTCATCAAGACTCGACAGTAATGATAACTAAATAGAGCTGATCATTATGTTTTACTATTGAATCAAAGCAGATTATTAAGTACAATTTTTAATTTATATCAACAAATAATAATGATTACATTAATATCCGAGTAAAAGCCGTGTGTTAAAAATGTAGGTTATGTAGTTAGAGTTGCATAACTAAGTATATTATAGAAAKATACGACAGATGAATGATAAAAATAATAAAACAAAACAAATGTCATATTATTTAATTCACTCAAATCATCGACTAGGTGTTCTCAGAGAGTTTGCTTCCAGAGAATTGTAGTTTAATTTTTTAATTTTACAAAAAAAAAAAAAAACGCTTAGCGGTACGTCAAACCTACAAAATGTTTGTCCTGGTATTGATCGGCATTCGCCGCCAAATAAATGTCATCTGGTTGAAATATAATGTAAGTTGTTCAGTGGTCTACTGGCCCAACAGATAGTGTTTTTGGATTTACTGAAATTCTGTCCGATAGATAGCACCACAGTGATAAATAAAACGTTATAATAATATTATGTTTTTTTATTTGTATTTGGAGGACCACAACTCACAAGTAGTGACACACGTTTTCAATAATATTAATGCGGTTGACATGTAGTTAAATAAATAGAAATTAGGTACCCTTTTACTTTTTTTTTTATTTGGAAAATTATATTATGTACTTAATTGAATCAATCATGAATTGTTAGTATTTTTTAATCGAATGCTCATAATGCTCAATAACAATATTTTTTTTTTATTTATTTTACAATTTGAAATACACAATCTGTATAACATAGCATAATAATTATATATGATATTATAATAGTAGCATGAATATTTTGAATTAAGAAATCACCCATTGGTGACACTTGGCTGGGAATTAACGCTTTCTAGAATCTCAATAACTATAATAATAAAAAATACTTCAAAATCAATCAAAATGGAATATTTTATAATGTATACGTTATTATTATGTGGAATGTTATCTGGAAAGTGACTCGAGATTGTATATTTAATAGAAATAAAGCTGTATTTTTATAATGTATTTACTCTATTGGTATTGAAATATTAATTGCTGACTAATTGTTAATATATTATTTTCAGTGATTGGAACACGTGACTGGAATATCGATACTGAAAACTAGTTAAATTAAAATATAATCTCGTGAATTATTTGCACTTCTGAAAACAACAATTATTCTGTTTTCCAGTTCGCATGAATTTTAGTGATAACAATATGGCTATTGTCTATATTCGTATAGAGTGTTTAATTTATCGAAATTGTATGACATATATGAATAATCTATAATATAAATAAATATTTAAAATGTCCAAGGTGAAAGCTCCTTATTTTCCTTCTTCTATCCGTGATTGACTGCATGTCATACTGTATAACTATAACTTATACATAATGTTATATGCAATACGAAATTTAATTTATTTTTTATGTTTATACAAGGCGATTCGAATATAATTTTTAATTAAACGTTTATTTAGTTGTAAATTTCAAAATATAAGATAAAACTATTTTTTGAAACATCAGTTATTTCACTAAAAAGTAAAAATGCAAGTTACATCTCTGGAGGACTTATTTTTCGTTTAAGGCACGTACAATCAAAAATCTGGTTAGGTTCACAATAAGTTCTCAACACAAAAATTACATTGTAAAAGTTTAAAAATATTGTTATTTTGAAATATAATTGTGTATATTATATTATAATCGCTTGATGTATTAATTTTAAGTTCATTTTTCTTTTAGTGTTTTTGATAACAGTCTTAGTAACGTATTTAAACAAAAGCAGTACCTACAGATTATGTTTCTTATTTGAAATCAAACAATAAATCTATAATTGTATTATTATTATACTTTAAATATAACGAATTAACATTTAATAAAAATAAATATTTTTTTTTCAACTGGAAAAAACAAAATTAATCTACGAATTAAGAAAATAAGGATAATTTATTATTCAATAACAAACATAATTATTTAAAATAAATTATACGAAAAGATAAATAAAATAACCAAATAGATCCAGGGTAAATATTTCCCGATCCGTCAAGGCAAATATGGCATCTGAAACTTTTAACGTTGGGATAGCAGATTGTGGTATAAATTATGTATAAGAGTTTATCAATCACGTTACTATCGTATAGAATAAACAAATATTTAACCTGAAGTAAAGAATAAAATAATTTTTTATTATATGTTTTTAATTTTAACTTAATTACTTTCAAGTTGTGTTCAGTGATCCAGAATAATAAATGTTGGATTTTTAATATTGGATTTAATATACCCAAGTGTAGATACTATACTTTTGATTCAATATTTCACACTTAATTTAATTTTCGCATATTTTTTTAAAAATAATAAAGAARCAAATTACATAATATATGAGATTGTATAGTACAACTAGTACTCCAACTCTTATTTCATAAGAAAATTTTAACTGAAGAACCTTATACTCAAGTAGAAAGTCAAATATGACATAAATAATTTAAGTTTAAAAACTATAACTTCAAATTGGAAAATATTTTTTTACATTCCTTTTAAGACACATAATCTACGTATTTTATAGAAAAGATAAGCTCTAGGTAGTCAAAATAATTTATGAATGACAATATGCCATAATAATATTATTAGCCTTAATACCTACTCAAAACTTTGAATTTAATTGAAAAAGACCTAAATTATGGACTTTTAAAATTTATTCAAAAAATATCGTCATAAAATCGATAAGTTTTAATTTTCTATAATATTGATAAAAAATAGTACAATTATTAGACATTTTGAAAATTTGATGATTCAATGGAAATTATCTATACTGGAATAATTACTAAAAATCAATATTTTTCTTTTCATATTATACATTTTATATTATGACATTTGATAAATGAAAGATAATAGTTAAGGTATAATTTTTATCATTTAAACGTCTGTAAAAAATGTGTGGTAAAAATGTAATTTATTTTTGTTTTGTTTTTAGATTATATTAAACACGTAATTTACAGTTATTTTAATATGAATTAATTTATTATTTAATTGATTTAAATATGTTGCAATTAAAATTAGTATTTAAACAATTGAATCACGATTTTTTTTTTTTAATTAAATACGAAAGTGGCCATTAATATGTTTGAATATTATTTTTTGAAAATAATAATATTGCGTTTTAGTAATAGTATTATAATAAATGTCCTAGTTTTTATGGGTTTRTTAAAATGACAATAATAACGAAAAACATTTTTCTATTCGACACGGAATCAATACCCCTAGGTCATGGCTCTTCGGTAGTTTTTTCACTATTTTCTATCTATACTATACTCTTCAAAAAAGGTTTCACTATTTTCAATATTTAAAAACCAGATATGTGTACAAATCATGAATTTGCATATTTTGTGAATTCATTTTGAACAAGAGATAGTACGTATATTATTCTTAGTAGACTTAAAAGAATTTGTTAAAAATAACAAAGATAAATAGTTAATTGATTGTTCATTTTGAACAACCTATAGATGGTTATCATTATATTATTCTATAATTCTATTCTATAATTCTATTATTCTATAATAATCTTATTAGATTACAGTAAAAATAGGGTAGGAGTTCTTATGTTAAAAACATAAGTTTGCATCACCATATGGCATGCCAAAATTCATGAATTTGAAAAAATTGCATATAAGAATATTTAAAAGTTACAAAAAAAATCAGAGTTTAAATTAATTAATTATCAGAGGAAAACATGTGGATTGATGAATCATTATGTATTTTTATATATTATTATGTATAATAAAAAGTTTTATTTTGCAGATATTGATTAGTAGGAATAGTACCTAATATATTATATTTAATTATAGAATAATACATTATATTATACAAAAATAAAAATAATAACCTTTTATKAATTTAGGGACTTTTTCATTAAAAACATTAATATTATATAAGAATGAATGGAATAAGTTATTACAATTTCACCCATAACAGTTATATATGTAGGTATAAAGACTGTAATAACAAAATATCAAACAATAAGGTGTTAATAAAATTGAAAAGATTTATTTTAAGATAAAAATATAATAGTAAAAATACTTATATAAGTTAATGTCAGAAAAACTTTTAAAAGTAGAGTAATCAATAATATACTTCTACACTTTTGTTGTTGACTTTTAATGGCCAAAAGTATTAAAAACATTATTTAAAACTAGTAATAAACACCAAACGTGATTTTTTTGACACATTAAAAGTTTTTAGTTGAAAACTGTGAAATTTAAAATATTTTATTTTTGATTTACCAAAATCGAAAAGTAATAGTACCTACATTTAAAATAATTTGAGCTTTAAATGTTTCATTTAATTTATTTTTATACCTGGAGTATATTGAATGATAATATTGCAAAAAATCGGAGTAAACTATAATTTAAATTTAAACATGTCACAAACAATAATTTTTATCATATCTATAATAACTGGAATTCGTTGTATAAAACATTGTGTTACTGTCATATTTTAATATGATCCCATACTCCATTAATTAAATGCTAATATATAGGCATGATAATGTGTTCAGTACATGAGAATTTGAATACAATTGTAAATATATAGTTTATAATATTTAATACCAGTAATTATTTAAATTAATTAAAAAATAATATGTATAGGGGATACAACTAGTTACATAAACAATACAATACAATTTTTTTGACCCACATTTGAAGTTTGAAATGTTGCATTCAATATCTAAATTGTATACAGTAAAAATCATGATATAAATCTAAATTGTTTAAAAATGTGTATTTACTGTGGATGCTGAAGATACTCAAATATTTTTAGTTTGTGATTTTGACCTATATATTTACCTACTCGTCAATTGTTAAAATTTAAAGAGTGTAAAATATGTGAAATAATATTATGTAAAACATATATCATAATATCATTTCCACCACTATGATATTGTTTTATTATTTATCGTTATGTCATGTCTTGTGGTCCTCGAAATGGTTTTATTAATATGAAACTAATATTTACCTTTCACTGGCAATGGACGAGTTCCTGGACATGGACTTTGGTGATACTTCGAAATCAGAGTCAGACCTGTACAAGAACGACTCCCGACGCTGTGGCAAGTTTTGAAGCACCAGACCAGCTGACGGAGATGTGCCTCCACCGTCCAGTGGTGATCTACCAGGACTTGTGCCAGCTCCATTTTCCACATCAAAACTACAAAAAATAAAATAAGACGTTACAATAAGTAAATAAAATAATTAACCAGGTACTAAAATATACAAAATATTTTATTGAATTGTTTGTTTTTAATTGTCTTGATATAAAATCTAGTATAGATACCTATTATACTAATTAAATAAATACGCATTATTGTGAAGCTTAATTACGATTGACAAATATTTAATCAGTTGGTTTTTATTATAATATATTAGTCAACAATTGTATTTTATTGTTTTAAATGCATTGACAGCGAAATTGATTTTACGAAACCCAGTGCAAATACATCTATATTTTCAATGTTTTGTAATTTTTTGTGATTGAACTATAAACACCCAAGATATTAAACATAAACAAGTTTGTTAAACATAAATATTTACTTTCTTTACCAAGTTAAAGAGAAAAAAGAGCAAATATAAAAACATCTCCAAAGAATAGTTTATGTATCTACAGCATAACAACTGCTCTTTTAAACCCTATTCGTTTATATATCTTTACTAAAATGTTTTCAAAATCCATGTAATTTATACACACAGTATTACACAGAAAATTCAGTTGTGGTTTTAGATAAATTTACTTAAAAGTACACGATGGAATCTTTAAGAAAGCTAAAACCATATGAAGTTTTGTCTATTCTCTTAGAATACATTGTTGTAAAATTTCAAAAATATAAACAAAATCAGGAATTCTGTGTTTTTCTTAGAATTATGCATTACTTCCTATTTTATTTTATTTTTTTGTTTTATTATTCAATACATTTTAAACTCATATGACTTTTTTTAATAGCATAAACTTATTTTATAATTTACATAAATATATTTTGAATTTCAATCAATAATTTTTAATAAATAATACTTCAATTYCAATATAATTTTGCACCACATAATCATAGTGATACCTTTTTCAATAAAGTTAAATAAATATTTAGTAATACTACCTTATTTATTTTTTATTCGTTTTTGGCACTGTAAAGTATATTTATATTTAGTTATTAAATATGACAATACAATTTAATAACATCAATTATTGATTTTTAAACAACGTCAGATAAAGATACGCTTTTATACTTTATTATTATTATTTTTAGCTTAAGTTGACGTACTTAACGAAAAACTATTGATTCAGCTTTGTTCATCGCTAAAGAACAGATTTCCTCAAAGAATATAGAAACCATTATAAATATATATATAATATAATAACGATAATAATAATATATGTACTATATATATATATATGTACTATATATATATATATATATAAAGAGCTTAAAGGCTAATGGAAATGACGAATTTCAGAAAAAAAGTTGCTCATCAATGATAAATTATAGTACATTACGTATAAAGAATTATTGAACAATAAGCTAAATATTGTAAATTAAATCTATTGGCTGATTAAGGCATTAATAAAAATAATTATTTTGCACTAATTCTAAGTGTTACTTAGTTAAAATGGTTTGAAAATGTGAGTAATATATGATGGTATAAACATATATATATTATATATTATATAAATAATATAGAATTTCAGGTATTTGTTAATGACCTCTAAGACTCCAAAAGCATAACTATGTGGGTACATGTTTAATGTAGGACAAAGAAGGTAATGTAAACATGATAAAAAGTGACTTAATGATTTTGGAATTATCAAAAAAGACCTACAGTGACGGTCTGAGTGTAAGTAAACACAAATTATTGAACTAGACAAAATTTCTTTGATGTTCTTTAGTGTTTACCATGGGTAAGTTTTACAGCAGRGAGTGTAAGAAATTTCGGATAAAAAATTCATTGAAATATTTTGAATAAAAAGAAACATCAAGATATTTCAGTGTTAAATATTTGTAGTAATATTCTCGTCATTCATAGTGACTACCTATCTAAAGTATAATGTATAGTGTATTCATTTATACACTATACATATATCTATGCATATTATATTATAAATATCTTATTCATTTTTGTTAACAAAAAAAAAAAAATCCATAGTACACAGAAAATGCTCCCTCCTAATATTCAAACAAATATTACATCGTCTACACGTTTGCTCCTGCCCGATTTGGGGTAAATGCGCGTCCACCCACTTAAAAAAAAATACAAATCTTTCAAAATAAAGTAATCCGAATAATCGCAGATGCTACCTGGTTTATAAGAAATACTAACCTGCATAAGGACTTCAAAATTCAAGAAATTCAAGAATACATCATAACTCTAGCCAACAATTTTCACARCTCACTGCTCAGCTCATTAGGTTCAATGTTCTACAACTTACATGMTGAACTACCTCAACGCCGTTTAAAACGGGCCCGTCCTTAAGACCTTTTTAGTTAACTATTTTTACATAGATAATAACYCAACATATTATGTTAACAGACTTATCTTATTTACACTGTTATTTTAATTATTACTTATTCTGTATAATTTAAATATAATTACTATTATCTCTTTTGTATAAACATCTAATTACTTGATCATGTTTTTTAGCCAAAACAAATCTGTACATAATATCCATAGATGTAGGTAGCCTAGGCTAGGAACATCTCATAATAAAATTAATAAAAAAAAAGAAAAAAAAAGTATAATAACTATTTGCACCTTTAAAATGGGATATATTAAGTCTTAATATTATGTATTATAGGTTATGCTGTTGCTGAGGAAGTTTAATTTTTAGACAACGATGCATGGAAAATGTGCTTCATATTCACATACAATGAAGTAAAAAAAAATATATATATATAGTATAATAATTATAGATTGGGGGTATCAAATTGTAAGATAAAAATATAGATATTGATTCAAAAAAACAAATATTTTGGCTGTTTCAAATGAATTTGTTCTCATATAATTTATTACAATAAACATAATTTTACAAAACATTTATCTTTTTGAAGGTATTCAGATAAACGTCTTAAGGGTATAAGACAGMACGTCAATTAGGTACCACCACTTTCTAACCGTTACCATACATAAAAAGATACTAGAAAAAATCAAGTACATGTATAAGATGGAACGTTTATTACGGAATTAAATGCGTGCTTCCATTAAATATTATAAGTATTGTATAATGCTGTAATACATAATGTTATCTCSACTTAATACAAATTTAAACAGATTGGAATTTACGAAAAATCGATTCTACATAATATTTGAATGACTTACACGCGCGTGCGTATTTAAATAATATTTCGAGTTTCATTCAAAATCAAAACGCGTAAAGCGATATAATTTAGATAAATGTACTATTATCTACACAATATTTATCAATGATAAATTATCATATTAAAAACATCCGTGCAAAGTGAGTACCTATATGATTGGTAGAGAAAATACACTAGGACATTTACGAAAACTTCGTTCTGGGACGCTTCCTTCAATTAAACTAAATTATAATATTATGTCCATGTATGTTATTCGAAACAAGAACTATTCAGTAGGTACTGGGGTTTATCGAAGGTTAAAGCCAAATAAGAAAAAAAAAACACAACCAAAGTCGTATTGTTCTAAACACTAAAATGAGTTAATTATAGTTTTGAACTTTTATTGTATGTTTTCAATATGGTTTTCATATATTATGTTAATAATCTAGTGAATTGGTTAATTTTTACACGTTTAAACAATATGTCATAATATCAGGTAAAATTATATATATTCTAAATAAGTAATAATTTAAATATTTTTACTTGCGATATCAAACATACTGTTAGATATGTATTTTATTGTGCATAAATATTATTAAATGTCAAAATACATAGAAACACTTCAGTATAAATATACGTTTGTTTATTATTATCGTTATTTTTTTTTTTTTTAATAATAATATAATAATATATGTCGGAGATTTCAATAAAATATTTATCAAATTATTTTTTGACATTTTTCAAATCTCTATACATGAATAAATTTCCCTAAAATAAAAGAAAAATCGATAAGTGAAAATATAATCAAATTTACCAATTTAAATAGTTATAATATAGCAKCTGTCAGTTGGTAGCTTAACTATAACCATTTTCAAATTATCATGCTGCAGATTGCATTACAATATATTATGGTCGCCTAACCTCCAAAATTCCTTTAATAAGTTCATATACATTGAAATTTAAATATATAAATTAGTTAATCATATTCCATTAGAGCAATTTTGATGTAAAAGAAGACGTTTAAGACCTCTGCGATTAATTCGGTCGCAATATAGAATTAATAAAAAGTGTCGATTCACTGAAATCTAATTTTAATTAAAAAATAATTGCTTATTGCGAGTAAATATAATATAATATATTTAGAAATATAGGCACAATTATACTAATATTTGATAATAATGTAACTTATTGTATAACCATGCAATAAATCAGAATTTTTTCTGTATTGTGAATTGTTATACATCTAATAATTTAACCGATAATTAAACACAATGCAATTAAAACTGTTAAACAAAGTATTTTAAAATTAAACATTTTTTTTCGTACCTAGTTATTGTTTGTTATAAATTGAGTTTATTCTTCTTTGAAAATTAATTTTRGTAATTTTATATTCAACGAAATAATGATGTCATGTTTCCTCAACATAAAACATTCAATAATTTATACCTCAAACCTCTGATGAATATAAAAAAACATTTAAACCTAGCAAAATGTGTTATTTATAAACAATGTGATTGACAACTGAAATATTTATTAAATTATATGATTCCACTGAATACATGTAATATTAACAAAAATATGAATTCTGGAAGATGTGAGAAAGAAAAATGAAAAGCAGAAAAAAAGGCTTTTAAAAGCAGCTTTAATGAGTGTAGAATTCTCTTAATGGATTTGAAATGACTGAGGAGAAGAAGGAAAAAGGACGAATATTTTACAACCTTCCATATTTTTTTTTTTTTTTTTTTGTTTTACCACATTCTTGTCTGAAATTCCCCCCAACGAGCAGAAGGTTCAATTTTTTCCATTATTTTACCATAAAAGTAACTTTTCATTATTTCCCCCGGAAACAAGAGAAGATGTGTCTGTT